CCGGGAGGAAGGGAGGAAGGGAGGAAGGGAGGAAGGGAGGAAGGGAGGAAGGGAGGAAGGGAGGAAGGGAGGAAGGGAGGAAGGGAGGAAGGGAGGAAGGGAGGAAGAGAGGGAGGGAGGGAGGGAGGAGAGAGAAAACCATCAATAACCAAGTGCAGGTACAAGCTCTCTTAAGATGATTTTCATTTTTGACAACTGCTTTGTTTAGGATAATCCTGAACAGCAATCCATCTTTTTTGTCTTTTAGAGTTTTATCTTGCTGTTACATTAACTTTTAACTTCTTTCCATGATCAAGTGTAGTAATTATGGCAGATAAATCTATCCTTACAAGCAGATCTTATACAGGTAGGATTCCCAAACTTTTTGTGTTGTAGTAATGACTTTAGCAAAAAGAGAGGGCTGCAAAAGCAAATTGTCATGAGAAAAACTATGGTGGGGATTTACTGCTTATCTGTGGGAATTGCTCAAGTGCTACTTCTTATCCCAGGGTACAAATGAGAGTTTGACTCACTATGAAAATCTGGAAGGCTGCTCTGCACCTTCTGGGCAGCAAAAACAAGTGCATGGCCTATGTCTGTGAAGTAGGCACACAGTGCAAATCACCGCTACCACTTGCATTAGTGTGTGTCTCAGTTTAGTTAAACCTGAGTGATTCAATTTCATTACTTAATAAATGATTTTTGTGAGCAAGGAGCTCAGAACTATGCAGTTACTCTCAAAACAATTCTTACAAGAAAATGACACCAGTTGTATTAAAAGAGTTTTTGTTTCTCATAGAAGCTAATTTTAGGTACAGTTGGATAAGAAAAGTACACATCAGATAGATTAACTCAATAAAAACATTACTTGTAGAAAACAAACTGCAGAGGATACAATAATTTAGAATGCCTGAATCCATTTTTTTTTTCTGTTTTTTTTCAGGATTTGTTTTATTAGTTACTATTTGTTTATATAACATTTTCCTGCAAAAGATCCCAAGGTAGTACCAATATAAATGGACTTTGGCTGCCCCGTGAAAGTTTGGATTTCTAATTCAGGGTGTCTTCCACAGGGTATTTGTTGAGCAAAGAATTCAGTCACAGAATGGATTTAATTTTCTTTGTTCCTATCAACAACAATGGAGGTTTAGGTTTGGAGAGCGAAGAAGAATTTCTTTCGATGCATATTGCTGAACAAAATTCTGCAAACTCTGTAGGACTGGCTTACTAACAGGATGCTTGTTGTTTTTTTCATCTTCATAACTCTGTTCAGTCAGTCTGTTAAGGAGTTTCTGTTCTTACATCACATCAACTAAGGGTTTATGTTATTGCAACATTTTTGGTTGTGTCTAATGTATTTTCAGAGAAAAGACCACATTTGTTTACTGGCTTTTTATCACTCTAGATGCAAACTCAGCATTAAACAAAAAATGGAAATATTTTATAGGCAGGAAAGCTGTAGGTGAAGATCTCTCTTAAAACAATCAAAAGAGATATTAGGATTTCAGACTTCCCTGACTCTTCTATTTAGCAAGATAATCAGAATGGACATGCAGCAACCTTATCACCAAATTTGAGGGCCAGAAAGGATGCCCGTTCAGTCACATAACACCAAATTAAATTGATATTTTTTTCAGTAACATACACGTAACATACACGTATACGGAAAGCATGTATTTTATCCTGAGTTTTAATCAGTGTGAAGATTATCTCCTTGTGTTCCTCTTCACTTCTACTTCCACTTCTGGGTGGTACCCAGAAGACAGACAACATTCAGTTTATGCCTCATCCACATGAAGTAAAAGAAAATAATGATCTATTGTGTCCTTACACAACACCAATGTTAATGCAGCCCACAGCAGCAGTTTCTGATTTTGCAGCAGCATTATCCATCCATTCATATTCCTGTGTGATCCCTCCCAACTGCCAGATGCTTTTCTGCAGTGCTATTGCTTAATTATTCCCTGCTTGTACTTGTGCATTTCATTTTCTCTCCTTTGTCTGTGCTGAATTTCATCTTACTAATTTTACACTGAGTTTTAAACTTATTCTCCAAAGTGCTTTCTACCTCTCAGCCTTGAGTCAGTCACAAATTTTACAAGAGTTCTGCCCAATTCATTGCCCAAGTAATTCATAAAAATAACAACTAGTTCCACAGCTCAGGAAATACATTTTCAGGATATCTGCTATCTTCCCAGTGCCATTTTCAATGACTGCCTGAATGCAGTCGTGCACATACTCCTAATGATTCCCTCTGGACTGTCTAATCTACTGCTGAGAATGTCCCTTGGAGATGTGTCAAAAGCCACAATAAAAATCAAGACATAAAACAATTATTGATATCCATCTCCAGACATAAAGAAATAAGGTCGATTTGATTTGCTCTTGATGCACGTACATTGGCTGCCTCTTATAAAATTTTATCCTTCCAGTTCTTTACTTGAGCTACATTTACTATCCCCTGGGTCCCAATATTTTTTGAGTACTGAAATTTGGCTGCCTGGTGACAGCTTGAAATTGGTGCCTTCTCTTTTCCTTCTTTTAAGGATCGTTTGCCCCACTTCAGTCCAACAGGTCCTTGCCTATCCTCTTACAGACCTTCAAGCAACTGAAGGGCTGAAGAAGAAGCACACACAGTGTATCTACACAGGTTTATGCTCTGCTTTGCTCATGTCATAGTGACCAAACGACACCCCAAGACTGGATGGGACAAGGTGGGACACACAAATCCATGGTGAATTTGCTGTCCAGGTTGTAATAAGTGCATTGAGCACTGGTGGGAAGACCCTCATGGACTTGCACCTAAGCCCATAGGTCCCAGTGGGAAAGGTTCAAAGGCAGATTTGGCTCATTCATTGGGACTGTCTTACAGTGGCTGGCACGCATGGAGAGCAAGTCTTCACTGTTCCCCCATCCTTTTGTTTTTACTGATTTTAGAGGCCAGACTAAAGAGCTGTTGAGGATGCATTCTGAAAAAAACAACACGTGGAGGAGTTTATACTTACATCAGAGGCTCCCATGATTTAGGCTTAATGAAGATAGCGATGGGATATAGTTGTGCAACTTGTAGTCGTTTGATCGCATTTCCTGACACATCGAGAATACAGTGCTTGCCCTGTTGGAAGCAGATGAGGATGTGTTCATTTCTGCAGTTTGCTGAAGATCAGCCAAAAGAGGGAAGCAATCCTTTGAGGCAGTGTCCTGGAACACAGCTATGACTGACACACCAGGGGAGGGGGACTCCAGGGCACACACTCCACCCCTCTGCCTTTGATTTAGTCCTAATATAAAATATACCCTTAAAGATATGAAAGCAAATGGTAGTTTTTTTAATTTATTTTTTATTGGCATGAGCTCTGGGGGTGGTGATGGATTTTCTTCAGAGATGAGGAAAATCAATTCTTAAAAATAATAGCATAGCTATATTCTCTACTGCTTAATTTAATTCTTGTTTGTGTCAAAGACTTTGGGTGTCACTTGAGGCAAATCATTTAATCTCTCTAGGCTTCACTCTTTTACCTCTGTGACAGTGAGATAAGGTTATTCATCTGTTGTATAGAGGGTAGAGGGAAAAGCTGTTTTGGGGCATATTTGAGGTGCTGTGTTAAATTTCTGAATCTATGCCTCTACATCCAAGTATTAGAAGTGCCAAGAACATTTACTTGCAAAGTCATAGAGTCTACAAGTCGTGTCATTATAAAGCCTGTAAGAAATTGGATGTCACTTTGTACATATTTTGTATTTTTGGCATAAATGTGACTGAGATGCAGTCTCAGTCTCAGTCATCATGTTGCATGGACAGTAAAACTGGCATCAACTTACCCTCTCTGCCACAAATCTCACAGACTGGACGCTAGTTCCATATAAATTATCATTGTACTGCCCGGCTTCTATAAATTTGTGCTCTTGGATATCTTTTTCCATTTGTTCTCTTGAAATGACAAAATGATAATCTCTCCCATCCACTTCATAGTCACGCTTTGGTCGTGTGGTATCTGCACGAAACAAAGATAGGGGATCAAGAAGTCTGTATCAATTAACATTACTAGTGGACAGTGCTATCACTGGAGGTGTTCCACATCTGGGAGAGCTTTGGCTAACTTTTTTTTAACGGAGTTTTGACAATGAGGCTGCCATTTTACAGTAATACCTTCTAATATTTACTTCCAACCAATCTTATGTTAACACACAATAAGCATTTGCTAGAATTTCACTTTATCTCATCATAGTCATAACTAAATCTCAAATAAAATTGCAGATTATAAATCCAGACCTATGGCAGTGATAAAAATGAATGGCAATCTCATTAATTTAATTTAACCTTAATCATAAGGCTATTTCTGATCTTGTCTCCTAGCAGATTAAGCTACCATGTTTGTAGAGACAATAGTTTAAAAAGAAGAAAGACTGCAATCAGGATCTGCAGTAAACACTGAACAAGCTCTAATGATCCAAGATACAAACACTCTGCTTAATTCAGGGCCCAACATTGCTTTCAGAGGAGCCAAGATAAATTCCACACAAGTCACAGGCTACTCCGTAATTTTTTAGTCAATATTCTTCAGCTGAGTTGAAACATTTTATGTTTTATTAATATTTCAAAATTTTATTGTCTTTAAGAAAATACAGAATCATTGGTGAGTAAACTGAGTTTGTGGTTAAAAGGTCCCTTGTTTAGAGGGGCAGCTTCTGGCCTCTGCTCATAGAGCCCGTCCCTGCAGCCCCCCACTTCCAAACACTGACACATAAAACTAACACTCAGAACCTCACAATTTTTTGTTGTTTGTTCCTTTGACCTTTTTTCTCTGGTAGAAAAATGGCTTCTGAGAAACTCAGCTACATAAAGTTCATGGCTGCTGTTTTCATCACAATTCACTTAACGAATGGCACCAAGGGATGCAACAGACAGCTGCAAAACGAGGAATAAAATTATACTTACGTGGTACACATGATCCAAACTTATCAGGGAATTCAGATATCAAGTCATCATTGATTCGATCTTTCATAGGGCCCAGAATAATTACTGGCCTGGTGTAATTAACTGACAAATAAAAAAGAGAGGCACATTTTGGTGGTTACTGGAAATAATGGTAAATATTCCCAAAGCTGCACTAACGAGTTGCTGTCTTTAAGATCAAGTTGGTGGATTGATGGTTGGATTAGATGATCTTAGTGGTCTTTTCCAACCTTAACGATTCTATGATTCTAATGAAATCTTAGGTTACTTTTTATTGATGGATCATTTTTCTATTGATGTGGCTAAGGAAAATGGAACTAATGTTACTTATTTGGCAGAGCAGAGCACTGATGATGTACACTGGTGTAGACAAGTGGCATTATGAAAGGCCACGGGAACACACTGCAGAGAGTCCGGGAAACATCAGGAAGCACATGAAAGCTAGGGATAACCTTATGTCATTTCTTATGTATGCAACAGTGGCCAAGAAGGATCCACAGGGACAACAAGGCTTACTGCTCTGCTGGCCCCCAGAAATAAAATAAAAGATGTAAGAAACAGTGTCAGAAAAGCAGTCGGAACTTACTTTCCTGTCTTGTGACAGGTTCATAAGAAAGGATGCAGTCCTCTTGGCCTCCTGATGAGAGAAGAAAGAGAACAGTTTGAAGCTGACACATGACACTTCATGTACCAAAGCTTGATAAAATGCTTCACACAGGCAGTTCGGGTTCTGCACTTCTCTGTAATATGCTCGCCTGAACCATTCCAATACCCTTAAAAACTTCAATCTGCAGAGATCACTTTATTCCCTTCCCCTTTGACCTGTGCCACATATTTCAGTTCTGTTCTCTGAACCTGGGTTTCTTCAATGGTCCAGAATAGTGGAGGCAACAAGGCCTCATTTAATGACAAGGCTGTTTATAAGGGCAGAAATTTCAGATATAATTATTTTGTTCACCAATTGCTACGGCACTAACAAGCTGCTGCAGGGCAAATCTACTAGCTTTTCTTTACAGAGAGAGTGGTGAGGGGCTGGAACAGGCTGCCCAGAGAGGTTGTGGATGCTCCATCCCTAGAGGCGTCCTGGGCAGCCTACTGTAATATTAAATGTGGACGTTGGTGGTCCTGCATGTGGCAGGGGTTGGAGATTCATGATCCTTGAGGTCCCTTCCAACCCTGGCCATTCTGTGATTCTGTGATTCTGTGAGAGCTACATAAACTGAACTGTTTTTACCTTCAGCACATTTTGGCTGATCGTCTTCTTGTGCATGAGCTCCCTAGTCTAGTTTATTTACAACCTGGTATCTAGCTCTGAGTGTTTTTTCTGATCCTCATGCTTTATCTGAACACAAGTATTACAGAATAATTGTATTTTATGCCTTATTCTCTCCACTGCTGCTAGGACTGTGATGTTTCCTCATTATGACATATAGGGAACCAATGCAGAGAACTTTGATGGAAGACTCAAGTGGTCCAGGACTTGGGTGCAGGTGTACAGCTCTAATACATCTCTGCCCTCCATAAGAGCATAAAAGGAGAGCTGGAAGGATTCTTCAATCTACTGCATTAATAATTCCTGCAGATCTCTCTGGGTCATTGTCACATACTTGGCACTTCATAAGGGCTCTGGCATGTTCAAAATATGACTTTGGCTTATCAAATTTTAATATCCTGATTTTATTTTTACTCAGATCAGGGTTTACCTTTGAGAAGATTCACACTTGGGATTTTGCATCTAATTTAGGTATTATGGAATAAAGATTGTCATAATTGTATCTGAGTTTTACAAAAAAAGGTAGAATTACCTTCATAACATTTGCTTGTATATGTGAGTCTTTACAACATTTTTCTGACAGGCTTCTGTCAAACCAAATAGTTCATAAACACATCAAGAGTTGCATGATGCCTGTTTGATGATATAGGTAGGATTTAGAGGTTGTACAACTCACACTGAGGCTTTCTGACTGATTTTCAGGCCATTCTTGAAGTTCTAATATATTAATTATTCTTCATTAGAATGCAATGTCTAGATCACAAGAAGATACAAAGGCCAGGTTGGATGGGCTGTGGGCAGCCTGATCCAGTGGATGGCAACCACTGCCCAAGGCAGGGGTTGGAACTGGATGGTCTTTAAGGTCTTTTCCAACCCAAGTTACTCTATGATTCTATAACTCTGTGATTTTGGTGTTTAGTCTTAAACTGACTCCCACTCCATGAATCTAATATGTTCAGAGAGAACTGTTCCTGCTATATTACCTAGACAGCTGTGAGAAATGTGTAGGAAAACCTTCCAAGTAAAAAGAATTTAATTAGCCATGATGAAAGAAAAAGCAAATTAAAAAAGTGCTACTGTGTAAGGAGAGAGGCAGAAAAGACAGGACTAATTTCAAGCTAGCAATGTTGCTAAAGCAATTGAAGAGAAAGCTTGATTTTTAATAAAAGGAAGAGATTAGTTTTTAAGGACAAGGCAATGTAATGTATGAGGAATGTGGATAATTGATTCTGTTCTATTTTGTGAGTGTTTGATACTGTAATCACTTGCTTAACTTTGATTTGTTGCAAGGTTAAAAATCTTGAATTCTTACCATGTTTCTTGCATCAGATTTGTTATTTTCCCTCAAGTTACTTTGAGAAATTTTATGTGATGTAGTAATCAGGATGTCCCAGTTCTTTGGAGATGAAGAGTGTCACTCCCCAGCTTGACAAGGATGCTTCTACACTGCCTGCCTTCCAGCCCTCAGGAGCCAATGCTAAGCTTTAAACAGCCTTAGAATGTCAGCCTTGGGATGGCTGTTGAAGCCATCGTGTACTAAGCATGTGGAGGGGATCTTGTTTGCACAAATAGTCTTAAACTTGAGACTACATGGTTCAAAGGCACGTAGCTTTCTGCAAAGGGGGATTCATTTAGGTCATTGCAGAAAACCATATTATGAGTGCTTACGTCTGAGCTAGTCCTTAGATGCTCTTTAGACTCAATGGGTGCCTACAAATAGGCAAGTGCTTATTCTAAGACTTGAGTCATCTGATCTATTTCAGATTTTGGGATGAGTATCTATCAGTATGATTTGGGCTACAGACGCAAATGAACTTGTCATTTAACAGAAGTCAAATAGCCCTGAAGCCACTGCAAAGGGTTGAAGTAAGCAAGGAGAAGCTTAAAGGCCGACTGTGATGCATAGGGACTTAAATATAGTCATCTTCCTGAGTGAAGGCTCTTCCACACTGAACATCAGAGTCACATGCGGTGTGAGCATGGGTGGAAATCACTGTTTCCACTACTTGTCTTTTCTGGAAAAAGAGTTCAGGAAGTTCAAGTTTCCATGTGAAGAAAATAATTTCAAACACTACCACAAGTTTTCAGGGGCTGATATGCATGTTAACAGTACCAGATGATGGTCTTCAATGATTTCTTCTCAACTGGTACTGCACAAAGTATTAAGTATAATGAACAGCACTAGAATCAATCAATAATCAGATTGCCATAACCTCATGATGGTTTTGAGGTGTGACACAGCATGATGTCCTGCAGGGCAGAGGTTTATTTATCATTTGATCGTTTAACACTATCATTAACAGCTTAATTAGCACAGGTCTGCTATATTGATCTGGAAAATTGTTGTGAAATATAACAGACAAAAAAAAAAAAAAAAAAAAAAGAGAAAAGAAAAAAATCTGTCTGTACGATTTTGGCATGATCCTTTGTTCTTCAGTAAAATTCCATTAGTCAAAAAGACAAGAGAAGACAGAAGATAAGGAAAGAGAAGACATAGAAAGAAAGCCTTCTTAAACATAGTTTAATAGTTAAATTTCTGGATGTCTTTCACTTTGTCACTATTACTATGGCTCCTGTTCCCTGTGCTCTTGGTTTGCATGTTGCTGAGTTCTCATGCTCAAGAAGAGCATGGAATTTTTTACAACTTACTGCCTCTAAAAGCTGAGCAGAGAGGTCCTGGGAGGTTGGAAGAATTTCATAAGGACCACTCATTTTTTTCTTTTTAGGGTAACCCTAAAATGGATTTAAAGGGCTGTCTTTATTTTTCTTATTTAGCTAGATGGATCTGAGGTGATTCCAGTGTACATGTGTGTCAATTTACGTACGTTTCATTTCCATCAAAAGCCCCACTTCCTACTGTCTTGCCAGAGCATCCACAGCTTCCACAGTGCTGATGTTGCTGCATCCAGCATGTGAGTAATGGGGCAGGAGAGCCGCTGTGATGCCATGGTGTAGCCACCATGTAACCAAAGGGCCACCCTTATCAGGTACCTTATAAATCCATGGATGTTGGCATCCTAGTAATGGCTGTGAAGGAAAAAAGGTCAGCAAAAGTCTGAGAATGAAGATCCTACTGGAAAGTGGTTGATCAGTATGACATGATTAAGATCAATAAATCTCGTGCAGCCATATGTAGAGACTTTAGTGCTTGTGCCAATTTAAGTACTAATATATAAACCTACAGGGAGAGTAAGAGCAAATGTAAGCATTTTAATTAATCAGTGGCCTAACATAACAATCAGGACTCTTTTAAATCTTGTTCCGAAACTTCAAATCTCATTATAGAATGAAATGCTGACCAAATACAGAAAGTAAAAATTTTGGTTCCTGATCCCTTTTCTTTTAACTTATAATCATGTAGTGCCTCTCTAAATAATTGGTGCAATCATAATCAATTATGCAATTAGGCCAAGTAGATGGGTTAATGTTTGTGTAATTTTGATGACGGCTGTAAAAACCTCTACTGAACTATGCTTGAGTGCATTTCCACACATCACCCCCCATATGCAGTGGAGAGACTTAAAAGTCATGTCATTATGAAAATCATGTCTTGGAAAATAAAAACTGATGAGTCTATAGTAAAAAATACATTCTTTCAGGCTTGGTTTGAAATAGAAAATTAGAACTCTTCAAGTTACAGAGCTCAGAACAAACTTCTAATCATTGTTTAATTAGCTGGTTGAGGAATAAGTCAAAGTTGGCCTCATGTATACTTAAGAAGGAAAACTTTCTGCTAGATCAGGATTTTATATACCACGCTGCATCCCTGATTTTTCTGCTAAGAGAAGGTGAAAATCAACTAACACTGTTATAGTCCTTATATTTGCACAGCCTGCGTGATGTAGCAGCATCTGTGTGGCATCTCAGGCCCTTGTAGCTCAGGCTAGAAATTGTTCCAGGCTCAAAAGCACTTTAAAATCTTTTATGAATGGCCAGATTCTGCTGTCAAATATGCTTGTGGTTCTCCCAAAAGTTAATAGGTTATCTGCTGGGATAAAGAAAATTATCAACTGGGATTTGGAGAGGCTGCCACCTCATATCCGTGCAAGACGAGGACAATGGTGAGCGCCATGCAGCCTACATGGCCGGGGCATGTTTAGCAGAATGCTCTGCTAGTCTGGTTTAGCTATCTTCTTAGAGACAAATTGTTTTCCAGATGTCATTCTGTGTCTCCATTAACTTCAAATTGAATCTATTGTAAAAACTGAGTGGGTGATGGCTGTGCTTTGGGATACATATTGGTCAAGGAAATCTCACCACTGGCTTTAGCTCTTTTTCTCATTACAAACCAGAGTTGATAGTAGAAATCACGTTTACTATCTGCAACAGCCTTGTTGCTAAGGAGTGGTTTAAGAATTTTCTCCCAAGACCACATATGAGAAATTTCAATTTTATTATTATTTTGAAATAGTGACTTTAATACTGACTTTAATTTTTAGCCCCCAGGCCCAACACATAAGCAATAGAATTCTTCAGCCAAATACTCAGGCATTAAGCAATATATTTGTCTAAATAAATAAGAATTCATCAGAATAGCTCCCAGAAAAAGCCCAGTCAGTTTGTAAACCTTCTGTTAATCCCTGTACAGGGCACAACCTGGTCAGCTCTCAGAATCCTTCAATGTCACTTTGTGCAGCTGTACCCCTGAATTGGAATGGTTCAAGGAATGATAAAGTAATACAGGTTTTAACATTAGCTACTTTTCACTAGATGCTAAGAAGCAATAGTTAGAGAAACATGTTGAAGCAATAGCCAGAAACCCATGAGAAACAATGCAGAACACTTCAATCTGAACTACAACTGGACTGTTTTTACAGGGGCAAATATGAACGTCTGCAGGAGAACATTTCTTACTCACACACTTTTCTTTATATTGGCCAAGGTGTGAACTGCTGATTTGTTACAATTCAGAAATCCATGGGACAGGCAACCCTTTTTTCCTCCTGCTCATTTCCTTGGGAAACAGAAGAAACAAAGGGTGCTCTGCATACTGTCTCATTCCATCAGGAGTCAGCTTTATCCTGAGTACCTATTATTTTTCTTTCATTAAAAATTAATTATAAGGCAATGAGGACTATGTCTTTAGGATGTGAATGTTCATTGATTAGTTCTGATAACTACTGTTGCCATTTGGGGAGATAAGGATAGACTTCTACTGTGCAGTGTCCTTTCTCAGCTGTTCCACAAAGTCAGATCTGCAGTGAAATAAGTCAACTGCTTCATGGCAGACCCCATCATTCTTACCTCCATACCCTCACAGTTGGCCAACTACTCTCTAGCCACCCCTCACTCGCTCTCTGTTTTCTGATTCTTATCTCAAGTCACAGCTTTTCTAGAGGGGATTTGCTGCAGTGAGCTGTGTGATGGGAATGTGCTTGCTGACCTAGACTAGCCTAGAGATTCAGGGTGTAACTATTCCGATTCAGGAGCGCTGGGAGTCCCAACAGAAGACATGCCCATATTCCATGGCCATATAGTAATCAAACACAGGGTCAGGCCAGAGCTGACATGTCATTGTAATTGTCTGAAACAGTTATTTCCAAAAGCTGGTGTCTAAAATTGCTGGCTGCCCAAGGTTGTGGACTCAAGCGTCATATCAGCACCCACCAATGAATCATTAGCAAATGAAATCAGGCCCTTTGGGCACCAGCTCCTGAATTTTAAAGTCACTTTCACTTGGCATAATGGAAGACTGGCTTCCTTTGCTTCTGAATGTCATAGCTTTGCCCTGAGCAGAAAAGGAAGCCCTCCCTGCATTTCCTCTGCTGGGGAGCAGTTTTTTGGACACCCCAGCAATATGCGGTGAGCTCCAGCCAATATGATGCTGGTTAGTGCTGGGGTGAGCTTTCCCAGATGGAAACCACACTTAAATGAGATGCCTGTTGTGTGCAGTTAGTTACCTCAGCACTTCTTTTTGTTCCGAATGTGTCCCAACTAACCCCCCAAAATTTTCTTTTTCCCTGATCCTCAAAACAAATGCCTTATTTCAAGCTATTGCACAGCCAACTGGTTATCTGGTCAGTCTTATGATGCATTTTAGGAACTACCTTATATGAACTTGTCCAAGATGTTGACCTGTAGTTTGGTTCCCATTTTAATTCTCCTATTTGGGATATCAGGCATGGGACATGTTAAGCCACCAGCCTTGGTTACTTGGGCATTTACATACTCACTCTGAAATAAACACACCTGGAAGAGATTTGACTCATAAGAACTTTTGAAAATTTATCAATTGATTCAGTCTTGATTGTAAAGTCAATCTGGTGAAAGAGCATGTTATATGTCAGACATAAAATCCTTCTTTCCTCTCAGTGAAGGACACAGAATAAATAACATGGCTCAGAATTGGTTCTCAGCAGTTCAAAAGTGCCAACTGATTTCTTGTGACTCTGGCAATTGCTTTCCAAATAAATATTTGCAGTACAAGAGAATACAAACTAATTTACCATTTCTGAATTGAATAAGGTTAGCTGTTCTACTGAAACAAACCAATGTTTATTAACAGAGCTCAACTGCTATGCACTCTAAGAAGACTAGAAAGTATGAGGTATGATACCAGTGATTACCTGGATGTATGCGGGTACTTAGCGCAAGTGCTGAGCGACTGGTGGAAAACTTGATTTGCTAAGCAAATGGCTTGAGAAAATTAAACAAGTTGGTAACTCAGTGATCAACCTCTCTTTTACTATCTTTTACTACATTTCCTTTCATCTGTTTTGATAACTTTTTTTTTTTTCTTTTCAACACTTCCAGATAATTTTCCACAATTTACGATCTATCTCTAAACTATTTGACAGTAGTTCTGTAATTCCAACCAGATTAGATTACAGGATTGGGACCATCGCTTAGAGGAAATCCACATCATTTATTGGTAGTGTCTAAAGGGTGAAGGTCTATTTGTCTCTCTTAATGGTTTTTGAAGACTTCATTATGTATTAAGAAAGCTGTACTGACAAAATTAAAGACTCACTAGACTTTTTGGGGCCATTTATTTGTTGTTCATGAAGGTATGCAAAAATACAAATAAAAATTGTGACACTGTAAAGAAGATCTTTTGCATTTTTGACAACAATTATGGAGGAATTTTACTTTTAAAAGGTCATCAAGAAATTGTCCCTCTTCCTTCTGAAATAGACTTCCTTTCACTAAATAAAATAATTCTAATTTTCAAAGACTACCCAAAGCCAAGTTTGATTTTATAGCCCAGAATACACTCCAAATAGCAAATCACCCTCCCTTTTCTCATAAAGGTTGCCAGTTTTCTTTTATAGCTATGTACTCAAGAGGTGGTTGTAAATTTGAATTCCAAGCCATTTGCTCCAACCATTTTTTTCAACATTAACAAAAGAATAGCAAGAAGAGAACCAAAATAACAGGAACGAACACAGCAAGCAATGCAAAGTAAAAAGACTCTAATGAAAGCAGTAACTTACTGTAGCTACTTTCACTATCGCTGGCATTAGAAGAAACATGTTCTGCAAGAACAGTACAGCAAATTAAAGAACATAACCAAGCACCACAGAGCCGTAGAAACTCAAAAGATCTGCCGCAGCCATGCAAAGGTAGTTGTGCAGAGAGGAAATAAAAACTGTACAGTGACATCACCTGAAGGTCTTAGATAATTTACACAGTTAAAATGAAAGCTTTCTCTCTTGAGGTATTTCCGAAAGAGACTATACACATCTAGTGGTATACAATATAGAAAAGCCATTGATACACATTATAGCAAAGCCATGTCATTTCTTTCTAAGACTTTCTAAGATAGTTAATGACATCTCAGATAAATTAATTTCAAAATACCATATGGTCCACTTGCATCTCAGTGAATGACTAATTTCATGAATGAGTTTCTGCTCGTGTTCTTCTAAACTTAGTTTTGTTCTCAGCGTTAATCACTTTCTACTATCCAGTGGAGTTAACAAATCAATGTGAAAAGGGCTTTGATATCAACTATTGCAAAAGATTAAAAAAAAAAAAGACAAAGCCAAAGAAATGTTTTTCCAGACAAGTTCCAGCTTCAGGATTTGAGCTAGAGTACAAAAATCTTTTTCAGACTAGTCTGGATATGCGATCAGGGATGGAAGAATTATCGAGGGATAGATTTCTGGTTTGACAAGTTTGGTGTCAGAAAGGTGTGGTGTACATCATGCAAAGTGATTGTTTCCAATCAGGAAGGCTGAGTGACATCAGTCAGATCATGCTTAGTGGTCTCTAAGAGGTCTGTAGAACCACATTTAATGGCTGCTTTAATAGCTCTCTGGTAGAAATGCTGATAACTTTCCAGGTAAAAGTTCATTTGACACACACTTGAAATTTTTCACCTGGACCAGAGCATTTAAAAATAAATGTTACAATGGTTATATGGTGAGAAGCAACCCTGGGTTAATTGGAATGAGATATGGATTGTTGAATGGACAATGAGCACAAATAACTCACTTCCTGATAGTCATCAGAAGCCAAAATGTATCTAACTGTCATTAATCCATTGTGCAGGTTAGGATGTTAGTGACTGGTAACCACCATGTGCAACAAGTCAAGAATCCACTGGGATGAACTCAGAGTAGGCCACAAGGAGGATGAATACGGGAACTGTGTCAAGGCCACCTCTTCTCTGCGAGGTGCTGCATGCCCCCACATGCACACCTAATGGCTGGGGTTCATCAAGCAGTAGCAGACAGGCTGGTGGAGCAGCAGGAATGGGAGAGGCTGATATCCGATAAAAGTAATAGTTGACAAACTTTGGTCTTGGACTTATTTACAAGCTTCAAAATATTAGACCCATGCTTTCAACAAAACTGTGTGGAGTCTTGGACATTTCACAGAAAGTTAACAACTGCTGCCTCCAACCATGATGTTATTCGAGGCCTTGAAGGTTTTGTTAATCAATAACAAATATCCTCCATAGTAACTATTAAAGTAACAACTATAACTTAGTTTAATATTAGTAAAATTTGAACGCGGCTGAAATGTCTAGAGATGTGTCAGTAATTAAAAGCTAGGTGTAATATTAATAGAGAAACTAGACCCTGACCAATACCCTTGTGCCACTTTTCTCCTAGCAGTTTGCAGATTTAGTTATCTCCTTCTGGATGATTGAAAGTTACAGAGATTTGTCTTTTTAAGGACACAGATATGCAGGAGGGTTTATCAAATCAGATGTATTTGAATTTTTTTTTTAAGCAGTGGAGGATTTGCATTTATTCCTAGTGAACAGTGATAGCACTTCATGTAACAAAATGGTTAAGATTCAGGTGGCAGCGATATTGAAAATGGGTCTTCTAGGAACTGTTCTCCATACAAGAGATGAAGCTTTCATCATTAAATGGCAAGATACTGTATAGATTACAATAAAACCATTAAAATGACCCTTAAAAAATCAGAAATCTGTAAAATTGCACATTCCTGTAATTAAAAAGCATATACAAAACAGTAGGTGATGCAGTGTCAACATCCACATACATTTTACTTCAATTACTTGGCACTGAAGAAGAAGAACTGAAGGAAGAAGCAGCCAAACACATGCAAGTGCCATTTTGCTTAAATTATTTAGGTTTGGATACAGCATATAACATAGCCATTTCTATAGAGTAATTTATTCTGTACAATTTTTCTGGTCTGACTTTCAAGGAAGCAAAATTGTTCCCAAATGATTATCTGACACATGACACATTCTGCAATGCCAAGTTGTGAGACAGGATTACTGCGTCAGAAAAACAAACTGATTAAGGTTTCATGACAGGGAATAGGTTGGTAATGGTGAAATGGGTCCAAATTCAGTTTGGGAGAAGGCGTGTCTTCTCTAGCCTGGAAATGACTTCTTCCATTAATAACAAACGCTAATCCAAAATTCAGCAAAGTAACAAACACTCCCATGCAGAAAGCTGAAAATGCAGAAGCAACAGCAGAAAAAAATTTCTATTTCCTCAGGATGTGATCGAGTTGAAATGTTTAAGTTTCCCTTTTGATGGAGAGGGAGGGATTGTTGCTGAGAAGTACATTCTAGCAGCAAAACAAGTTCTGGGTATGCTACTCTACGGAACTGCCATGATGAGAACAATAACATACTGTCAGAAACAAAAGGTGTTATTACAAAAGAAGTGAAAGTGTCTGCTTGATACACTGTATGTTATTTAATATTGTCATGCAGAACAAAACAATTGAAACATTTTTAATGCATTCACAGCTGGGTAACAAATAAAACTCTATCTTGTGCATGCTAGGAGTGGAGGGTCCTCAGAGAAGGAACAGAAGCCAAAACAAAACAAAACAAAAAAAGATTTACAGTGACCATTCCTGGGAACTTACTCAGAGTCTTTGTTCCATAACCGTCGTCACCTAATCCGGGGATGTCCTGCACGGAAGTCCCCAGAGAGAGCAATGAGAAAGGAAGAACAGCCGCAGAAGAGGAAGGAAGAAGTCAGTGGAGTTGAAATGGATACTACCATGACTGACCATGTTGATTGAGCAATCTGGATCCCTGCTTTTTTTCTCTTTAAACCCATATTCTATGGGAATGCAGCCAATGAAGGAGGCAGTGACCATTCTACATGGCTTTGTAGTTGTGACAAAGAAGGAACAATACAATAAATAAAGTCCCAGAAACGGTCCTCACCACATAAATTCGGAAGGAGAGAATTACTAAGGGAAAATTGTGAATTCTTTGGGCTCAGAGCCAGCATTTTGTTTGTAATTATGCTGGTTGTTCACACATACAGTTTTAGCAAGCAGTAGGTGCCTGGAGAGGTACACATCCCAGGGTCTGATTTGCTTATTTAATTTCTTAGTGTGGATGCTTCATTAAACTGTCGAACTTTCAGTGAAGCCATCCATGACAATCAACTTGGAAAACGTCAGAGGCAAAAATGAAAAAGGAGACCAGAGCAGAGCTTTAAAAAAAATCAGTCTGGTATTCTAAAAGAAATCATGTTTGCATAATTTTGAGCCAGTTTTGATTTGGGAATATTTAATCAGAGCCAAATTTGGGTTTAGGCCAGGTGCCACAATGATACTGAGGAGCCACATTTTTTTTTTTTTCAAGAAAGTGAAGAAATGCTCTTCCAAAAGTTAAGGTCACTATTTCATTCTTCAGAAAATGATGTTTCCAAGGAAGGAAGGACCAGCTGGATCCAAATTGCAGTCATACATTGGTCACAGTAGTAATACCTCGCCTGCCTGCCTACAACATGTATTTGCCTGGATGTGTGGGATACTGATATCATGCGTGTCACCCATTTTTTGTGCTGCATGTGGCATTGTCTCCGAGAGGTTACTTACGTTCTGGATCACTTGTTTCCTGCTCACTCTGCTCCTTGCTCTTGTAGAATGGGAATTTTCGTGAAAAGATGAAGTTCTTTTTACGCTTGTCATTGAATGACTGTGAAGGAGAAAAGGCATGGGGCAAAAACAGGGACGTCTAATTGTTGTCACACTCATGCTGACAAAACAACTAGTTTGTAAAAGTGGAGAGAACTGCAGTGACTCAAATCAGTCCAAAACAAGTGGCTGGGAAGACTCACAGGTGGTTGTGGTGATGTGTATATGCTGAAGGCAGAACCCCTGGAGACTGGATCGATATAATGGCAGAAGTCTCAAACTACAAACTTCAGCTCCTTCTTTGGGAATTATCATGTTTGGCTTGCTCAGATAAAGGGCCACAGATGGCTCAGCATGCTTTGAGATCAAGCCACTCATCTTTAATGATAGCAGACTGTGCACAAAAATAATTAACTGTCTGAAAAAGAAAAGGCTGCAAAGAGGAAAGAGGAAGCCTTTGATTTTCTTCTGGTAGGTGTGTGGATTCAGCTCTGTGCCAATTAAAATTATATCTGTTTTTTTTTCTGGTAACTGTTGCTGACTTCAGAGTGCTTTACTTGTCCAGTTAACTGGTAATTTCTTACATATGTTTTAATGTCTTTTTTTGCGTCACGTAAGAAAATTCACTTCACTTTGTGTTATACGTCTATATTAATTTAATGGGTTCCTCTGGATATGCTTTTAGAGATGAGATTTTGCTGGTAAGCAGTATTTCATTGCATATTGAGCAGTATGTACCTTCAAATGGGGAATAAATATGGAATTGTATTTATTTATTTATTTATGCAACAAAAACTTTGGCTTTAAAGACAGCTGCAAAGGTTTTATGGCAGGGTACTGTGTAAAAGTAGGATACACCTACTTGGGACATGTATTTCAGGTGCTAAATGAGGAATCAAGGTCCCTGAGCAGTTAACTGAGTAAAGCTGGTGCTTCCAGAGGGCACCTATGCTGAATTGCAGACAGTGCTTAACTGATCTGTACTGTCCATCAGACAATGTCCTGTGCTGCTTCCTGGACAGAATGTGGGCAAAGCCCATGATCTTGCATGTGCTCACCTCCAAGAGAGCAGAGAAATGCTCAGCTCACTGAAGGAGACAATCTCATGTGCTTGTGGTTGCTTGTATGAAAATGCAACTAGGATTTGCCTCCAGATTTGAAATAGAACAGATTTAAGGTTCCAGAATATTATCTTGTTTGTTTACATTTTAGAAGAACACCATAAAATGTTGTTTAGAATGTGTATTTCTGAGGGATGTCAAGTTAGGTACTGCAAAGCTCAATTAAACCAGTTGTCTACTTGTGTCACAAAAGTTTCATGCCACTTTTACATTTCAAGCATATTTAAAGTTCAGTAACCAAAAACAAAGGAAAAAATGCACATGTAGAGTAAATGATCCATGAGAATCTCTGAGTATGTAAACATTAAATGTGAAATTAACGTGGAGGTCATGCACAAATAATCCAGACTGCATGCAATTTCAAATAAAGCAAATATGAAAGAAAGCCAGCATTAAAAGTAATGGGTATGAAGGATCAAAGTAATCTGCGGGTGAAAAGAGGACTGACATGCACATTATATCACATTAATGACCTAAAGGATGTAATTAAATTAAAATGTGTTTTCCGTGACCATTTCTTTTATTTTTCCAAAGAAAAGAATGCAGCATGTTAACATTTCCGAAGTTGTGAAAACGTTGTTTGACACGCTTCATCTGAGCTTTATATACTAATACTACAGGCTTTGCACTTAAAAAGGAAAAAAAAATATAAACACAGTAGCACCTCAGAAAACAAAGCGATTTTAAAGTGAAAATCACTTCATTACCAAATGACATTTCAGTTTGGAATTAAAGAGAATGTTATCAAAGGGACATATAAATATGCTGTTTTACAGAGGTTTTATGAAAAATAACCACTTTTAAGTATTCTCACTCCATTTTTTTCCCCAACAGTAGCAAAAGCCTCAGAAAGTACATTTGCATTAGAAGAACATATATTGTTGTTTGAGCTTATGCAAGATCTAGCTGAATATTCCAAATTAAACAGACATCCCATAGAATTCTATAAACATTTTTTCCTTGTGCAGTTGGGTTGCATTTCAAATAAGATATTGTTCCACTTCTACTTGGCAATCAAAACCTGGCAACTCATAGCAGGTGACTGTTACATCCAAAATTGCTGATAGCTCACACTGGTAAAATCTCTCATTTCTAAAATAAAACTGATTCTTTGTTTATTAATATCCATAAGCAAACAAGCTTATGCACATGTTAAGATTTGTATAGATTAATCAGTGTGCATATGCATGTTAATTGCCACATATACTACCACAGAATAGCCATATTAAAATATGATAATAGACTAAACTGAGTCTGGTACAGCAAACTTATTGAAATAATTAATCTTTAGTTTTAGCTGAATGGGCTTACTGAACACTTATTTTACTGTACATTAAGTGCCTGCTTTTCACAAGAAAGCAAAACAAGGAGTCTTAGTTTTGTTTTTGCATACAATATAAATGTGATTGAAAACAGGCTGATTGCCTTCACCTCAAGGATATGAAATCCTACAGACATCCATCAGAATGTCCTTGCAGAGCCCATGTAAAGTACAAACATAGGGGGATTGGTGGAGAAGTGGGAGACATATGGAATAAAACTGTATTTTTTCTCAGACATGCTCTTTTAGATATAGATTTGGGTTTGTTGTTGGAGGAATAGAGATCAGCACCGTCATCCAGCACTTGCATCATACGGATGCATATTTTCTTTTTAAGACAGGTGAAGAATGGCGCTAGGGTTAAACAACAATAATCAAATGTGTGCTTTTCAGAGGTCTTATTTCTATGCAGTGGAAATGGAATCTTTGAGTTAAATGTTCTGAAGTGGTTTTTGTTAGGGTCCCCTTACACTGCTGATAAATGAGAGAGGTATTTGTCTACATGTCTCAGCCTGATATAGAAGTTGAGCACAACTGGATTTGAAATTGTGATACGAAGCTCAGACTTGCTCCAACAACATTTATGCAGGCAGAGTTTCTGAATGTCACTGAAAGTGCCTGAAAATGAATGCCTGTGCAAACTGCAATTTCTTTGCATGAATATTGTAACATTCTGTAGCGACAAATAACTGGGGTATCTCAGCTGCAGTGAAATCCTGTACAATAGACAGCTCTTATACCTCACTGCCATCAGTTCTCACAGCCCACCCATAACCCAGGAACTGGCATTAGTATGTACTCTATATAGGCAAAAAAAAAAAAAGCAGATGACATTTTCAAGTGCTGTTTGACAACTGAACAGGGAGGTCATTGCTCACAGCACTTGAACTGTGATGAAAAAAGTCTTTTTACAGAAAAAAAAAGAAGGGGAGAGAAGCTTTCACCAACATTGTAGCTTACATTCTTATTTTGACACTACTTAGGGCACAAGGCTATACACTGAAAAATACGCAATCTGCACTCTTCCTTGGCCAAATACCCCACAATGCCATTTACATATGTCTGATTTACATTCACAACAATCTCTGGTTATGACAGACATCAAGACACCGGGTGTTTCTTGTTCTTAAGAACTCCATTTGGTACTTTTCTTTTCTTTTGTCAAAGTACATTTTTTTATTCTAAATGCTTTTCTCTAAGGGCAGCAGCCATACAAATATTACTCATCAGATAATGTGTTTAAAAAGGAAATTTTAATGTAAAATGGAACAATCCAATTTCAGAATTTGCTTTATAGTGGTAAACATCACAAAGAATAGTGCATCCGTAACACGATGGGTGTAGCACCCTGCAATAGTCAACCATTCTGTTGTTTATTTGAGCTCTTTCTAGATATTTTTCCTAGTGCAGCTGATCCAGCCCATACTGTGTTCATGAAGATAAAGATTGTCCTCTTTGTGCTTTGTAGAACAGTGTAATATGTTGGAAAAAGATTGCTTTTGATGCTCTAAAAAGCAGTTCTGCAATCTAAAAGCCATTGGAATATATTGGGAATCCTTTATTTTGCTATTTCATTCAACCAGTGCTAATCCCCAC